GCCCTCAGACCCTAGTCCAGGCAAGCTGTACCTCCAGCCTCACTGGCTTGCTGGGTTGACACACACCCCACTTTAAGCCCTCCTCTCTTCCTCTTTGAAATGGCCTCATGCTAGTGCTGCGGTGGGTCCATGGTAGGCCCAGAGCATCTTGGGGTGGGGAGGCCAGGAGAGTCCTGGGGTGGGGAGGACAGGTGAATCCTGGGGTGGGAGGGCAGGCGAGTCCCGGGGTGGGAGGGCAGGGCTCTACCTTCTCCTGGGCTGGCCTCCACGCCCATTAGCTATGAACCGTCAGGTCCCAGCATCCCTCTCCCCAGCGCTGCCCTCTGTCTGTCTCCTCCTCCTGGCCCTGCTGCCACTCAAGGGCCAGTGACGGGTGCTGAGAGCTGACCAGAACTGGAGAGGGCAGCATTTACCCAGCACTTTACCTCCACTGTGAGGCAGGGATACTGAGCGTGCTTTATAGATCAGGCATCTGAGGACAGAGGGCAGGCCTTGGGGAACAGGCAGCGCTGGCCACAGGGGACAGCCTTGTCGTCTGAAGTAGGGCTGAAATCTCAGCCCCTCATTCACTGTGGCTCAGTAGGGAAGTCAGGGCACAGATGGGGACTTATCTCCATCGATGGGCCTCCCGCTAGGTCCTGGTGTGCCAGTCCCCTGGGGCCCTTTCACCAACCTAGCCACCTTCTTGCCCTAGCCTCAGCCTTGGCAGCTTGGGCCCCAACTTCATTATGGAGTTGGCAGGTGGCAGCCTTGACTCTTGGCTGAGTCCTTGAGTCTGGGAAATTTCAGCCACCTCTTTCCTCCAGTCCAGAGATAAAAATCCCTGGGGACAGCTGCTCCTGTGCTCAGTGACCTAGTGGAACAGGGGAGATGGCAGGGCCTGAGCTTCCTTCCAGGTCGGCTCGTATGGGATTAACAGGAGACTCCATTCCGCCCTGTCCAACTTCAAGGCGACTCCAGAGACTGAACCACCTATAATCTTAATCGATGATAATGCGATGGAGTTGGGGTGTTAGGAATAAAATACGAGTCTTCCCTCCTACCTGCAGCCCTTGCCGACCAGGACAGGGACACTGTGCAGCTCAGCGGATGGTGGTGAGACCTTAGATGGTGGTCAGTTATGCAGCACTTGGGATATGGAGGAAAGATCCGTGGGTGCGTGGAGGCTTATAGAGAAGCTGGTCTGCGGCTGGACCCAGGCAACTCAAAATGTAAATTCTTTCTTTTTTTTTTTTTTTGAGGCAGAGTTTCGCTCTTGCTGGCCAGACTGGAGTGCAATGGCATGATCTCAGCTCACTGCAACCTCCAACTCCTGGGTTCAAGCGATTCTCCTGCCTTCAGCCTCCCTATTAGCTGGGAGTACAGGCATGTGCCACCAAGTGGGGCTACGGTTTGTTTTTTTTTTTTGAGATGGAGTCTCTGTTGCTCAGGCTGGAGTGCAGTGGCGCGATCTCAGCTCACTGCAATCTCTGCCTCCTAGGTTCAAGTGATTCTCTTGCCTCAGCCTCCCAACTGGCTGGGAATACAGGCAAGTGCCACCATGCCTGGCTAGTTTTTGTATTTTTAGTAGAGACAAGGTTTTGCCATGTTGATCAGTCTGGTCTCAAACTCTCGACCTCAGGTGATCTGCCCACCTTGGCATCCCAAAGTGCTGGGATTACAGGCATGAGTCACACAGCTCCTGACCAACATAAATCCATTTTTAAGAATCGTATGGTATAGGCGGGTATCTACTTTGTCCACAGGCAGGCCTGACCCCGGGTGGAGGAGGGGCGGGTGGAGAATAACAATTGTCTTAAGGGAGTCTGCCTAGGGAGAAAAACCTCTGGGGTGTATCAGCTGGAAAAGAATAGGCGTCTCAGTGTGGCCCCTCTCCCCCCTCTCAGCCCAGCCCCTGCGGGGGTGGTGGGGGAGCTGCGGTCAGCACACACAGCTGGGGCCTCCAGCAAAATCCCATTCTATATATCTAAGAGCAACAGCTCCGAGAGTGGCCCCCAGAGGGACAAAACCTCATTGTGAGGCGCCCGCCGGCCTCAGCACCCCTCCCCCAACCCCAGAACTGTCGTGGCATTGACCCTCCTCAGCAGGCCACCACGGGCCTGCTGACTGGGCCACATCTGGGGCTCAGGCACTGGCTGCCCCTCTCCCACGGCTGGCCCGTGAGGACTGACAGGGAGGCTGGGGTGGGAGCAGCGGCCTTGCTAGTGCCCCGCCCTTCCCAGGGATGCTGCAAGGCAGAGGTGAGAGTTGGAGGCTGGCCAGGCTGGCATCTAGATCCTCCAGCAGTCGCCCACACCTCTGGCCTCTGTTAGGTGGCTTGTCAAACAGTGATTGGGTGGGATGGGTTTTTCCAGCTTTTACTTGCTGCCTTGAAGGGTCGTGAGAGGCTTCAAGTTGAACCACTCTGAAGTGGGATGATTCTCTAGGTCTGAGATTCCAGAATTATCTGTTCCCAAGGTCTCAGAGGTCCGGGATTCTGTAGTTTTTTTTGTTTGTTTTGTTTTGTGTTTGTGTTTTGCTCTGTCATCCAGGCTGGAGTGCAGTGGTATGAGCATGGCTCACTGTAGCCTCAACCTCCTGGGCTCAAGCAATCCTCCTGCCTCAGCCTCCTGGTCTCCCTCATTTTATTTTATTTTTTATTTTTTGTAGAGACACGGTCTTGCCATGTTGCCCAGGCTGGTCTCAAACTCCTGGCCTCAAGTAATCCTCCTGCCTCAACCTCCCAAAGTGCTGGGATTACAGGTGTAAGCCACTGGAGCCTGACGGGATTTGGTAGTTTGAAGATACCATCATCCATTCATTCAATACACATTTATTGAGCACCTACTGTGTGCCAGCCAGGTAGTTTTCTTGGTGTGGAAGCTATAGCAGTGATTGACACAGAAAAATCTCTTGCCCTCATAGGGCTTCAATTCAAGAACAGGAATGGAATATTCTGTTCCATAATAACAGAAACGAAATAAGAATCTGTTATATGGTGAGAAAGAAAGGCCTAGGTAGGGAGAACTGCTTTAGGTAGGATGGTTGGGGATACGACATTTGAGCTGAGACCAACTGCTGAGAAGGACTAGCCATGTAGAGACAAGCATTGTAAACAGACGGAATGGCATGTGCCAAGGGCCTGTGGCAGGTATGGGCGTGGCATGTTTCAGCAATGGCAAGCAGACCCTGGTGGCTGTTATTCAGTGAGCAATGGAGAGGGGGGAAGAGCTGAGATCAGTGGTAGAGGCAGGGCCTGAGAAACTAGAGCAAGACGTTCAGATGTTGTTTTTGTTTGTTTGTTTTGTTATTCTTTTTTTTCGAGACAGAGTTTTGCTCTTGTTGCCCAGGCTGGAGTGCAGTGGCACGATCTCGGCTCACCACAACCTCCGCCTCCCAGGTTCAAGCGATTTTCCTGCCTCAGTCTCCTGAGTAGCTGGGATTACAGGCACAAGCCACCACACCCGGCTAATTTTTAAATTTTTAGTAGAGACTGGGTTTCTCCATGTTGGTCAGGCTTGTCTTGAACTCCTGACCTCAGGTGGCTTGGGCGTGAGCCACTGTGCCCAGCCAGATGTTGTTTTGAGTGCAAAGGGAAACTTGGTTTTGCAAAGGAGTGACATGATCAGATGGATGTTTCAGAAAGGGTGATTTGGAGGATTGTAGGGGAAATCAGTGAGAACAGAGGCTGTGCAGTTGGGCAGGATGGAGATGCAGAGACAGTCATCAGGGTGAAGGCAGGGGCACAAGGACAATGAATGGCTTTATCCGGGACATATTTCGAATTAGAACCTCCAGGTTTCATTCCACCAGACAGGGCCACAGTGAAGGAGGGGTCAGATTCCCAGGGCAGCCAGGATTTGGCTCTGAACATTAATGACCTTGAAAATCTTGGCCAGGGCGGGGCATGGTGGCTCATGTCTGTAATCCCAGCACTTAGGAAGGCTGAAGCAGGCGGATCACCTGAGGTCAGGAGTTCAAGACCAGCCTGGCTAACGCGATGAAACCTCATCTCTATTAAAAATACAAAAATTAGCTGGGCATGGTGTCGGGCCCCTGTAATCCCAGCTACTCAGAAGGCTGAGGCAGGAGAATCGCTTGAACCCAGGAGGCAGAGGTTGCGGTGAGCTGACATCATGCCATTGCACTCCAGCCTGGGCTACTGAGCGAAACTCCATCTCAAAGAAAGAGAAGCTCTTAGGCCTGTATTGTCCAATACCACAGCCACAAGTAACTGTTTAAACTAATTACAATTAAACAAAATGAGGGGAAAAAATCAGTTCCTCAGTCTCAATAGGCACATTTCCAGTGCTCACTTGTGGCTAGTGACCATATTGGACAACACAGGGAACGTTTCCATCATCACGGCCACAGGACAGGACTTCCTGGCAGTCCTTAATGCATTGAGCCTCAGTCTTACTATCTGTAAAATGCAGGTAACAGCAGTATCTCCTTGCTAGGGTGCCTGTAAGGACTACGTGAGATAACGCCTGTGTGGCCCGGTACATAACACACGTTTCCCTACATGCAGGTCGTTATTGTTGCTGAGTTGGGGTGGTAGGTAGCGAGAGGGATGGGGGCTGTCTCTGAGGTTTGGATTCGGAATCCTGACATCTCGCCCTGTCCAAGGCGAAGGCGAGGACGGTGGGAACAAGCCCTTCCCGTCCCGACCCCACAGAAGCCAGGCAGCCCTTGCCCCCCGGCCCCCCCGACCCGCGAAGGCCTCGCGCCCCGCAAACCCGGGATGGCCCCGCTCCCCCGGCTTGACTCCGCGCCCCGTAAACCTCTGACGGCCCTGCGTCCCCCGATCCCGGAAGGTTCTGCGTCCGGCAAGCCTGGGAAGGCCCGGCGCCCCCCGACCCGGGACGGCCCTGCGCCGAGCGCCGCCTGCAGGAGCCGGGCGCGTGGTGCCCGCGGCGGGATCCGGCGCAGCGCGGGCCGGCAGGGGGCGCTGGACGCGGCGGGCGGGGCGCGTGGGGCGCGTGGGGCGGGCAGGGGCCGGGCCAGGGCCGCGCTGGGGGCGAGCGCGGCGGCGGACCGGGCGGGATCGCAGCAGGAGCCCAGCCGGGACTGTCGCGCGGGCCGCGCCGGCGATGCCGCGCCCCCGGGCCAGGCTGTAGCGGGGCCGCGGCCGCAGTGCGCGCGGGGCCGGCGGGACATGGAGGTGGTGGACGAGACAGAGGCGCTGCAGCGCTTCTTCGAAGGTGAGAGACCGCGGACTGGCGGAGGCGACACTCTGGCTTCGGGAATCTCCCGGCAGATCTCACCCCCCGGGGCTGGGGTCCCCCGCTGTGTTTCTTCCGCTTCCTCTGGCTGGGACTCTCCTCCAGGCTGGCACCAGCCCGCCGAGACAGGTTCCCGGGGATTACCATCCACCGCCGCTGGAGTTGGGCTCCCTCTCCCCGCTCCTCAACTCGCAGCTTCCTTGGGGCTGTGCCCGCTTCCAGGTCTGGACCTCCTTTGAGCCTTCCAGGACCCGGAGCTTTCCCTAAATTGCCACACTCCCGCCCCCAGTGCACTTCCCAAGTCTGGGGACCCTCTACGGTGCTTCCCCAGAACCCCAGAACCCCAAGCACCCACTTCAAGGCCCAGGCCCCCAGTGTGCCTTCTAGGACCTTTTAGACTTCCTGAGGCTGGCACCCCAGCCTGCTTCCCAGAATCTGGGACCCCCGCCTAGAGTCCAAGACCCCAGTGAGCCCTTCAGGTTGGCACCATCCCCCTGACTTCCAGGAGCTGGGACCACCCTACTGTGCTTCCATGAGGGCAGGACCATACCTTGGAGACCCGGACCTCCTAGGACACTGCCACTTGACATTGCCACCTGCTTTCCACAATGCTGCCCCTAGTGACTCCTCTCCTGTTTGGGGCTGCACTCCCCCCCTCCTGTTTCCCCCCAACAGCATGCTTTCCTAGGACTGGAACCTTCTTGAAGCTGACATCCCCACCACCAGCCACCTCTGCTCTCCCAGACCTTTCCGGTGCTGTGAACTGCATTCCTCCAGCCCTCTGAGGCTGCTCAGCACTATGTCCCCAGCCCTGGAGCTGTGCCTCTCTGACCTCGCCCCCTCAAAGAGTGACCTTACCCCCCCTTGACCCTGAAAGGATCCTCCCCCTCTGGGGTGGAATTGACATATACCCCATAATAGCTTCTCCTGCCCCCACCCCTACATTGTTTTTGGAGGTCTCCTCCTACATCTAAGCAACTCCCCCTCTTTTCTTGGGCAGCCCCTGCCTCTCCTGCAGGGCTGCCACTCCTCCTGGAGCTGGGTTCTGGAGAGATGGGATGGCTGTGGGAGGGGGAGGGGAGGTGCAGGCTGACACCCCCCCAGCCCACTCTGCTTCTCAGAACATCTCTGGAACATCTAGCCAGAACCTCAGGCCGTCTTTTGTGCCCCTGTCTACCAATGTAAGGGCCCAGCCCCTGGCGGGAACTCCCTCTGTCCCTGGTCCCTAAGGCCACATCCTGCTCCTTGGTGCACTGAGAACCTTCCTTTCATGTGTGACCCTATCAGGGCTTCAGGGCAGGGAACCAGGGTCCAAGTTCCAAGCCCCAGATTCCTGTGGAGGAGAGAAGCAGGTCTTTTTTTTTTTGAGATGGAGTCTAGCTCTGTCGCCCAAGCTGGAGTGCAGTGGTGTGATCTCGGCTCACTGCAACTTCCATCTCCAGGATTCAAGCGACTCTACTGCCTCGGCCTCCCGAGTAGCTGGGACTACAGGTGCACATGCCCAGCTCATTTTTGTATTTTTAGTAGGGATGCAGTTTCACCATGTTGGCCAGGATGGTCTCGATCTCTTGATCTTGTGATCTGCCTGCCTCGGCCTCACAAAGTGCTGGGATTACAGGTGTGAACCACCGCGCCTGGCCAGAAGCAGGTCTTTCTGTGCCTCAGTTTCTCTTCCTCTGTGACTTGGGAGGTGGGAACCCTTCTTCACACCTGTTGGCTTAGCAGCTCATGCAGGGGCACCCCCAAGCCTCAGTCATCCCACTCCAGGATTCGGGACACCCTGCAGACCCAGACCCCAAGAATTCAGGCTTAGACTGGATCGAATGGTTGACCCTGAGTCAGCTGGGCCATCTGAGGGTCTTAGGCCACCCCAAATCTGTCTCTTCCCAGACAATGGTTGATCCTTAGGAGTGCTTGAGGGGCCTGGTGAGGTTTGAGGCCTTCAGGGAAGAGGGGACAAGACGTTAGTGCTTTCCTGGGTTACTGTTTGTGGTGCCTTGAGCCTGCTAGGTACTTAGAGGACCCATAAGCCAGGCTCCTTGACTTCTACACTGCCTCCCCCAGAACCCTGGGCCCCGACAGAGAGCAGAGGGGTGGGCCTGGCTGGCCTGGACTCCCTGGCTCCCTCCTGGCCATGGGTGGAGGGGTGGGGGCTGACGCCATGGCTTAGCCATGCAGCGGCCTGGTGGGGGGAGGCTGTGCTGCTCCCTCCAGAGAGATAAGAGGAGACTCAAGAATGTCTGTGGGGAGCAGGGAGGGAGTAAGGCTGCCCGCCTAGGAGGGCTGGGCTGGAAATGGCTCCCAGCCCCTGCGGTGGGGGAAGATGTGGGTGGGCACTCAGGGCTGGGGTCTCTGGGCCACTTGGGATGGGGAGGCTCATGTGGGGGACCCCCTGTAGGTATGAGGGAGGGCCTAGGGGTGGCGAGGCCTGGTGTGCGTGTGAGTGTGAAGTGGAGGGAGCGGAAGCTGTGCTTTTGAGTGGTGGCTGCGTCACTCCTGAGCACAGGAGAGCCACGTGTGCGCTCACACTTGGGGCCAGGACTGGGGACACCTGAGCTGTCATCCTGGTCCCCAGTTGGCTTCCATCATCCCTCAGGACAGTGGGTCTCGGACCCTGTGCTCTTGGCTCTGGGCTGGGAGAGTGGCATAGGGTTTCATTGAAGGGGCAGGAGCACGGCGAGCCCCCTCGCCTGATGCGGTGCCCCTCCCTGGGCATGCCCAGAATAGGTGCTGGGTCCTGCCCTGTGCCAGTGATGGGCTGGGGGCTAAGGCGCTTTGGGCCTCAGGTGGGAGGCTGGGACAGGGCGGCCCCCTCGAGGCTGGTACAGCCGGGCCCCCGTGACCGCCCAGCTAATCCCCTAGAGAGAGGCCAGGCAGCCCAGATCGGCGGGCACAGGGCCTGCAGAGAGGGGACCCGCCCGGCAGGATGCACTGGCTCCCAGCAGGTAAACCGGGTCCCAGGGTCAGGTGTGCTCCTCATCCACTTGTGGGCTGGGGTCTTGGACTCCCAGAGCCAAGGCAGCCACGGGACAGGGCAGCGTCTGAGAATTCGGCCAGAACCTGAGAGTTCTGGGACAGGCTGGGCCACTGAGAGTGGGGTGACCGTCTGTGCCCTCCAGGGAACCCCCAGAGAGCTCTTGCCCTCTCTAGGTCTTTTTTCTTCAGCTGCAAGACAGGAGGGGGTGGCAAAGAAAGTTTTCTCATCTCTGAAGAACCTCACCTCCCAGCCCTGGGGACCAGGGACATTTTAGAGTATGAATGGCACGAAGGGCAGCTGCTGGCCCCAGATTCTAGGGGCACATGAGGCTCGAGTGAGCAGCCAGTGCCCCCCAGAAAGCAGGTGTTGTGCAGGGAGCCTTGAAGGATGGAGGGAAGTCGCCTTCCAGCAGGTGCTGGAAAGACCACTTGGAGTTTAGTGGCCTCTGCCTGGCCTCTGGAGCCCACCAGGGCTGGAGGAGGGAGGCCTGGGATTTCAGCCCTTCTGAACCTGATGGGTGGCCTGGACTGGTGACTTCCTTCTCTGGCCTCATTCCCCTCCCAGGGTAAGTCAGTGGGTTGGACCAGAGCAGGGGTTTCCAGCGTGATTTTGTAGCCATCAAACAAACTCATGGTCTCCTGATAGGACAGGTACAGTGGATAAGCAGGGCTGGGCTCCCCACAGCCTCCGGAGCGCCAGAATACTGGTTTGAAAGCCACGCTTCCCAGCTGTGAGATGGGCGAGGGGAGGGGAATGGCGCCGGCTGAGGCTCAGAGAGAAGGGAGTTGGCCGGAGTTAGCCAGAGTGGACACTTAGTCCGCAGCTCCCTGCTCTGCCATCAGAGCCTTGGGGTGGGGGGCTACCTGTCAGGGTCCAGCATCTCTGCCTCGGGACAAGGTCCCAGGGAGAGACTACCTGAGGATTTGGAAGAGAGGACCACACCTGGCCAGGAACCTGGGGCTGGGCTGGGCCGTGTGATGGGGGTGGCACTGTGGCCATGTCGGCCCATCTGTCTCTATCTGTACCTCGAGCACTGAGGGAGTAAGTAGACAGGAGGGGTGGCCAGGAACAGAGTTTCCTGACCCCTGACTCTCAAGGAGAGGACCTGCCTCCTGGGCCCACCCGGAGCCCCCCTGAGGACTCCTGTCCCACCTCCAAGGCATGGAGCTGATTGCCAGACCTGCCCCAGGCCCTGAGCCCAGGCAGGAGAGGAAATGGTAGTAGGGGGTCTGACTCATCCTCATGTCCCCAGCACCCAGGACAGGGTGGGGGAGTGGGCAGGAAGTGTTCTCAGGGTCAACAGAGACAACAATGGTATGTGAGCAGAGGCGGTGGGGGTGGGGGACGAACCCCAGAAAGCACCTCTCTGGAGGGCCTGGGGTCAGTGCAGGGCTGAGAAGCTGGCAGTTACCGACCCTTTGGCCTCAGGGTCTCTCCTGAGTCTGGAAGGCTGGACAGGGTGCTCCTTGGGGTCTTAGGTAGAGCCAGGGAAGGCATTTGAGGGCAAAATGTCCTTTTCCCTGGGGGCCTGGCCCCCCACTTCCCAATCCCAAGGGGTTACAGATGGGAGGGCCCTGGCAGCAGAGGTTTCTGGGTAACAGACCAGCAAGGCTGCTGATTGGCTGCTGCCCTTGGACTTTGCCCTCCCTGATAAGGAACTGGGAGCAGAAATTATTAACTGAATCATTAACCGGGTGGCCCCGCCCTGCCCAGGCAGGCTGCCTTACCTTTCCACCTTCCTCCTCACGGACATAGCACCTTCCAGGCCCTCAGTTTCTTTCATTGCCTTGGGTGCTGGGATATTTGAGGGCCTCCTTTCCTGTCTCCAGGCCTTCAGCCTCTGCTGCCACGGAGTGTGGGTACCTCTTGGCTGGGTCTGGGGATGAGATGATGTAATAGTTTTGTGCATTCGCCAGCGGGGACAGCTAGGGTCTGTTCCTAGCTCTGCTGCCTACCCACAGTCCTTCTCTTGGCTGTATCAGGGCACCGCTGTGCCTCCGCT